CGACAGCAAGCGTGTTAGAAATAGACTGCAAATATTACTTTTGTATTTGTACATTTATATCCTAGTTTAGGTTATGAATGTTCTAGTGGGTTGGGGTGTACTCACAAATCCCAACCTCACCCAATTGTGATCCCCACAATCTCCAATTACCCAATTGGAGATTCCGGAGATCCCAATGGGGATTCCCTCCAATTCCCCCTTCATCCATTCTCTCTCACCTTGCCATGTACTTATAGAGCCTTGGGCTCCTTACCTAATCTATCATTTCAACTCTATTTCTTACATGGTATCAGAGCGACCTATCCGCACACGCGGATCAAGGTCCTAATCTGAACGTGCCCGCGCTACGCGCACTTCATCGTCGCGACATTCGTTTCGAGTCGTCGGAATTTCGACGTGCTCCACTCTGCAGTCGCGCCTCTCATCGTCGACCACCTTCGCGCTCGACCTCGTTGAATTTTTCATCTCTGAAGCGTTCACGCTTCTCGTCGTCGATTTCCTCCTCGGTTCTCCTTGGTCGAATCTCAATTTCGACCATCTCTTAAAACTCGTTCTCGAGTTTCCCCTCACACCCCGCCAGAATAGGCAAACTCCCCTCGCGAAATCGCCTCCACGAACGTCTCACATCAATCAAGAGCGGGTACACAGGTTGAAGCGGAGCGGAGCTGGTTGCGGAGCTGGTTGCGGGGCTGGTTGCGGAGCTGGTGCGGAGCTGGTTGTGGAGCAGGTGCAGAGCTGGTTGCGGAGCTGTGTAGCAGCGGGACAGGCATGGGGTGTGTGGGGGGGTGTGTGGGTCCGGGGTTAGACATAGGCTCAGATTCAGTTTCAAGCCGGCGTTTAACGAATTTTCGCCGACGCCATTTCCTACTTAGCGGCATTTTGATGAAGCCATCAGAGTGATTTTCAGCAATTCTCGTCGACCAATTTCCAGAAGTGCCGCGCTGCACACCGACAATGGCTTACTCAACCACTTCACTCGCCAACCCGATCCCGCTCCTTCGTCTCAAGCCGGACGGCACATGCTCCAACTACAAGGCTTGGCGCTATGGTGTCGACAAGCACCTCCTCAGTCGCGAGGTGAAGGGGCTCGAGCTCACCGACGTCCTTCTCAACATCGGTGACGGCAAAGAGCCTCCTAAACCCGAGAGGTCCGCCGATCCAGCTAATGCCACCGCCGAAGCAGTTTATGCTGCTGCACTGCTCAAGTACAAGAATTGGGAGAAGGCCGATGGTGCGGTCATTAGTGTCTTCATGGGCACCACTCCTCCCGAACTCGTCGAAACCTACCACAACAACCGTCTGCCAACGCCATTTGGCTCTACCTCAAAGATCGCTTCCTGAACAAGACTGCAGTGGGAGTTGCTATACTCATCCTCAGCATGTTCCAAGTGCGGCTCGAGGACTCGCCAGGCATGGCGGACTATGTCACCAAGGTGCAGTCCATTCATGGTGAACTCAAACAGTTGGGGATAGACTTCCCCGAGCAAGCCCCTGCAGCCGCTCTCCTAGTCGGCCTCACTCCGGCATACAAAGTCACACGCAAGATGCTCTTGGGCCTTGCTCCTGTGGACCTCACATTTGCCAAGGTCTCATATGCACTCCTTTCTGCCGAAAAGGACAACAGCGGTCAAGCCAAGGCCAATGCAATCCGCGCTCCGTGCCTCAAGCCTATGCCGCTTCGACGCCGTTCTAGCGCAACCGCTTCCCCCCGTGTCCCTACGTCATCAAGCGCGGCCCTCGTCTGGCCAGGTGTGTGGCGGCACCAACCACGCCCTTGCCTCTGCTTTAAGAAGAAGGATGACGAGTGGTATGCCGTCAATGGGACCGCCTCGAAGCCGCCAAGCTGGATGGTCAATCGTGCTCCTTGCCAAGTCAATCGAGTCGAAGCGCAGGAATCCGTGCAGGCTGCTGTTGCTGTACCTGCTGATGTGCGCCTCAACATGTTGTTCCCTGGCACTGCCATGATTAATGAAACGATTTCGCAGTATCCTGGCTCACAAAGCACCTCAGCCACAATAGAGTTCACCCTCGACAGTGGGGCCACTCACACAGTTCTCAAGGAAGAACACTCCTTCAAGCCATATGAGACACCAATCCGTCTACTTGGAGCAGACTCTAGTTTCACAACACACGCCAAGGGCTCCTCCACAGTTCCGTGCCCAGCTTTTCCTTCGGGCAGTGTGACTGGCATGTTGTTCCACACTACGCCACAATCTCGTGGCCCAACACGAGCTCCAACGGGCAGGCGTCACCACGATCTTCCCAGCACACTCGGATCACTGTGACCTCCTCGACCCTAAGTCCAACAAGCTCCTAGCACGCTTCACACTCAACAGCAGCAAGCTTTACATGTTGCGTTCACCTGCACCTCTCGCCGCCCTCTCCCAAGCGCAAGCTGCTAGCACCACTCCGTGTTCGTGTCGCAGCTTCGCCAACCCAACCATCCTCTACCACCATCGCTTGGGTCACCCCAACTTCCGTACACTTGCCGACATCGCTTCCAAGAAACTTCTTCTTGGCCTCCCGTCGGCGCTTCCTCCACCAACAGACTCACCTGCACCCACCTGCCTGGACTGCACCAAGAGCAGCTCAGGCAGCAGCCGCACCCTTCCTCCCCATCCGTCGCAGCTGCTCCGCTGGACCTAGTGCACATGGATGTCTGGGGCCCAGCTCCAGTCGCATCCCGAGGCGGTCATCGGTACTTTCTTACACCAGTCGATGACCACTCGCGGTATGTTTCTGTGCACCTCCTGCATACCAAGGCGGAGGCACCTGATGTCATCATGGCGTGGGTGCGCTCAGGCTCAAGTCACGTTCGGCACTCCTCTGAAGTGCCTCCATTCTGATGGCGGGGAGAATTTCGCAATGGCAAACTCGATAACTTCTGTGCGGCCCAAGGGATTCGGCAAACCTTCACGCTCCCCGAAAGCCGCAGCAGAATGGCATTGCAGAGAGCCGCAACCACACCTTGGTTCAGATCGCTTGCTGCCTCCTCAGTCACGCCAACGCACCACGGTCACTCTGGGGATATGCCCTCTTCCATGCGGCACTCCTCTACAATCTTTATCCGCATCCCCACCGGCCCGACACCACACCTACCGCTCCTCTGGCTTGGGGTCACGCCTTCCGCCCGCTCTCTATGCGTCTGGGGGTGTACCCGCGTATTTGTTGCTAAGCCCCCACACGCGCAGAAGCAAGGTGGCAAGCTTGGTCCCAAAACCCAGACCTGCATGTACCTGGGGCACAACTCCGACTCCCCAGAATACTTATTCCTCAACCCAATCACCAGACAGCTGATTCGCAGCCGTGATGTCGTCTTCGATGAGACACGCCCATTCCACTCTGCGACCACGGGCGAGCCTCCTCCACTCCCCCGACGCTTGTTTGGGCAGACTTCGATGCCCACCTCCGGCCGCTGCCCTTCTCCGGGGCCTTCTCCGTCCGGCGTGTCTCACCCGGCCTCCCCAGTATCCTCCGCAGCGGCACCTCCTCCTGCTCCGCCTTCCCCCGAGTCAAGCCCGGCTCACCAGTCTCCTATCGGAGGCGCCCAGTCCCTCCGGTCCCACCGCAGCCGCCTTCGTCTCCTGGTCTCTAGTCGCACTCGTTCCAAGGGACCGGCTCCGCCTCTCGCCTGGGGACCAGCCGCCTTCTCCATCCGGTGTTCGGTCACTCCGCCTCCTCCTGCCGGGGGTGATGTCCCCTCCATCCGTATTCCCCCCCAGTGCACTTCTGGAGGACAGGCATGAGGAGCTGTTTGACCTTCACGTGGTCTGCCAATTTCCTCTCAACATCTCCCGGACATTACTGAACTGCCCTTCCTCAACTTCACGAGAACCCGACCATTCCGACTCCTCGCACAAAAGAGGAAGCTCTCTCGGGGCCTTATAAGAAGGGTGGAAGGCAGCAATGGATGTGGAGAACGAGGCGTTCATTCGCAACAACAGCTTTGACGATGTTGTTCCCCCTTCCGGTGTTCAACATCGTCGGCGGAAAATGGATCTTCCGAGTCAAACAACTTCCAGGCGAAGCTCCACTGTTCAAGGCACGATACGTGGCGAAGGGTTTCACCCAGAAGGAGTATCTCGACTTCTTCGAAACATTCTCGCCCACGGCCAAGCTCCCGACTGTGCGCGCTCTTCTTGATATAGCCGCTCGCGGCAACTTCGAGATCAAGTCCATGGACGCGCTCCTCCGCCTTTCTCCAAGGCCACAGCCTCAAGGGAGGATGTTCACATGGAACGCCCACCGGGGTTTCTGGCCTTACCCTGCCAACACAGTGTGGAAGCTGAAGCGCCCAGTGTATGGCCTCAAGCAGGCTCCTCGTGAGTGGCACAACAAGGTGAAGGAAGTCCTCCTCGCACTTGACTTCCATCCCTCTGCCTCAGATTCCAGTCTCTTCGTTCGTCACTCCTCCGAGCCCTTCTACATCCTCGTCTACGTCGACGACTTCATTCTAGCCGCCAGAGATCCAGCCGACATGGCAGCTGTCCAGTCTGCTCTCAGCTCCGCCCTTCTCATGAAGGATCTTGGTGACCTCAAGAACTACCTGGGGATGGAGATCACTCGTGACCGCCAGGCTTGCACGATCACCCTCTCCCAGGAGTCCTACATCGACAACCTTCTCAAGCGGTTCGACATGGACTCCAGTAACTCTGTCTCCACTCCACTCCCACTACAGCATCAGCTCACGGCCCCTCCAGTTCCTTCTCCTGACGCCTGCAAGGACCCGTACCCTGAGCTAGTCGGTTCACTCATGTATGCCATGATGTGCACTCGACCAGACTTGGCTTACCCGGTTAGTGTCCTCTCTCGGTACGTCTCCCCCGGACACTACACTGCCTCGCATTGGTCTGCAGCCAAGAGGGCCCTCCGCTATCTACAAGCCACCAAGTCTCACATCCTCACTCTTGGTGGTACCTGTTAGTACAGGATCGAATGTGTCGAGGAAAGTGTTGCACTATCGATCATGTACAAGGCTGCTTTTATACTTCCAGAGTACATCCAGGTAACCAGGTTTATCTCTATCCTAAGGGAATAGACCCTTCTAGAAGATAGAATCACCCTGCGTAATAGCCACGCGAGGCTATTGGCTTTAAGGATTACAGCAGGATTACGCTAGATAGAGCGCACCAATACATCCAAGCCTGGTCGGTGATATAATTATAATAGCAGGATAAACCAAAGGTTAATGGAAAAGGAAAATAGGAAAACAAATGAGATGCGATAAAAGAGGAAATGAAATGGGAAGGAAAATAGGAAAAGGCCAAGTGGTGTAACGGGTCGTACTCTCACACTTCCCCCCTCAAAGCTGGGTGGTAGAAGTAACACCCTGCTTGACAAGGTAGTCATGCAGAGGACGACGGGCGTTACCCATGTCGGCTCAGGTACCCAGCTGTCCTCAGAAGGATCATAACCCTTCCAACGGATGAGAAGCTCCACGGTGCCATTCCGACGACGCGATGTGCAAGCACGGACTCGACCTCGTACTCGGGTTCGTTCTGGACGAGGACGGGCGGCGGCGGCGGCGGCTGGACGTCCCACGAAGATCGTGTTAGGATCTCGATAGGGCTTCAAAAGTTGGACATGGAAGGCGTTGTGAATCTTCCAGGTAGCTGGCAGGCGTAAGCGGAAGGTAACAGGAGTGACCTGTGCTTCAACGAGAAAAGGCCCGCAGAAGCGAGTCGAAGTTAGATGGGAGTGGCTGATGTCCAGGTTGCGGGTGTCAAGGAAGCACCTGGTCTCCCACGGAAATGGTGTGGTCGTTGCGATGGCGATCGGCCTGGCGCTTCTGTTGCTGTTGAATGTCAAGGAGGCGCTTATGGGTCCGATCCCAAAGTTGATGCATGGTTGTAATGAAATCATGTGCGGTTGGACTGTAGTGGTGCTGTCGGTTTTGTGGTGTGAGTGGGTGGCGTCCGTAGCAGAGGAAGAACGGCGTCTGTCCGTAGCGGCATGTGTGGCATTGTTGTAGGCAAACTCAGACGGGCAGGTGCAAGTCCCATTTGGAGATGTCGTCCTTGCAGGCTGCTCGGAGGAGTTGCTCAACAATTTGGTTGAGGCGCTCGTCTGTCCGTCTGTCTGCGGATGGTATGCGGATGACATGGCGAGTTTGGTGCCGAGCAGAGACATAAGTTCCTTCCAGAACTTGCTGGTGAACTTGGGGTCTCGGTCGGAGATGAGTGTAGTTGGGATGCCATGCTGTGAGATGATGTGACGAACGAAGAGCTGTGCTGTCTCCTCGGTGCGTGCCGTCGTGTGTGTCGGGATGAAGTGTCCCATTTTGGAGAACTGTCAATGACGACAAGGATGGCGTCATGACCGCTGGAGGTAGGTGGTAACCCGGTGATGAAAGTCCAGGCTAACACTTGCCATGGTTGTTCTGGGACAGGAAGAGGCTGCAGTAGTCCCGCCTTTTTCTGCTTGCTGCTCTTCATCCGCTGACATGTATCACACGAGGTGACGAATTTCTGGACGTCGTCTGCCATATGGGGCCAGTAGTAGTGTTTGGCGATACCGGTGAGCGTCTTGTTGCTACCGAAGTGGCCGCGTACAGGACGTCGTGGTATTCTTCGAGTAGTAACTGGCGCAAAGGAGGGTAATTGGGTACCCAGATTTTTGTGGATCCTTCCGGTATGCGATGTCATTGTCCCACTGTACAGATGTCGCTTTTCTGCCAATGGAATTTCGGGTCGATGGCGTACCCGTGGGTGAAGAGTCCCTTGAGTAGTGGATTCATCCCTTCGATCTGAATCGCGGCAACGTGTGCAGGCCGGCTGAGAGCGTCTGCTTTGTTCTTGTGGCCGGGCTTGTACACGATGTCGTAGTGGAAGTGTGTCTCGAGGAAGTCGATCCACCGGACCTGCCGCCTGGAAAGGTTGGGTTGTGTCTTCAAATATTTCAGGCTGGCAGTGGTCGGTGTAGACGGTCGTTCGTCGTCCTTCGAGATAGCATCTCCACGCTTTGAAGGCGATGACGATAGCAAGAGCCTCTTTGTCGTGTATCGGGTAGTTGAGTTCTGCCCCGTGCAGTTTCTTGCTGAGGTAGGCAATTGGTTGCAGTCCATTCCCCTGGTCTTGCATCAAGACTGCACCCACGGCCTGATCACTGGCGTCTGCTTCAATGACGTAGTCACGTTCGGGATCTGGCAAGATGAGTACCGGTGCGGATGTCAGTGCTTGTTTCAGTTGCTCCACGGCTTCCTGGTGCTTCGTCTCCCATTTGTAGGACGTGTTCTTCTTCAGCAGATTCGTGAGTGGTGCCGCGAGTTTTGCATACTGTGGCACGAACCTGTTGTAGTAATTAGCGAAGCCTAGGAACTGCTGCAACTCCTTCACGTTCTCGGCTTCTTTCCACACTCCTTAATTTGGTCCCCAAGTTGTCGGTACCGGTATAAATCTCCAGCTGTCTGCTTCTTTTGGAGTCCCTCCCGAATTTTCTCCAAGGCTCTAGCCCTCGAACATCATAAGTTTCATTAAAGAATCTTTATAAGATAACTTTAACGAATTCTTATAATTTCTTGGGTCTTCAAGGAGTTTCCTGTCTCGGCAGAGTCTTTTTTCGCGGTGTATTTTCCTCGGCGATTTTCCCTGGCGAAGACTGGTCGTGGGGTGGAGATTTTCCCCCATCATTTCCTCCTTCTCGCGTCGAATCAGCTTCGTCGAAGTTGATTTTTTCCGGAATCCCGCGGCCGCTTTCGGATCTTTTATTTTCGCCAGCTAGATCCGCAATCACTGGCGACTCCCGTTTTTTTGTCTTCTGATTGGCCGAAAGATTTCCGCCACTGTTGCGTGCCCGATACTCTGCGCGTGCGGCCTTCATTTTGTTGCAGTCGAAGATTCGGTGGCCCGGCACCCCGCAAAAATCACACGTGTAGTTGGTGTTTTTCGGACGTGGCCGCCCCTCGAATCTGTCGACTTCCATCGGGTCGGCGAACGTGGTGTGAGCCGAGCGGTCGCCCTGTCGCGTACTGCCGACGTGCGTCCGTCGTGTTCCGGCGTTGACCATGTCGAAGCGCTCCGCGGCCGAAACGACGTCACTGTAGCTCGCGTAGTTTGACGCTGCGACTTGTCGTTTGACTTCGGTCTTCAGCCCGGCGATGTACGATTGTACTTTTTCCCCTTCGGTCAGGTCGGGAATGCGGTTATAAAATTCCTCCATCTGCTGCGTGTACTGTGCTACACTCCCGAACTGTCGGTGTCGATGAATTTTTTCCCGGGCAAGGAAACTCGAATTTATCGGTTCGAAGCGTTTCAGCAGGTCGGCGCGGAACTGCTGCCACGTGGCTTCACCGTGGATGAAAGTACTGTTGCCGCCAATCCACTCGAGTGCCGGCCCTCGCATCAGTGTCGCCGCGAGTCGTACACGTTGACCGTCCCAGACTGGCGAGCTCCATCCGACGGCTGCGAAGTAGATCTCCATCCCGGCGATCCATCTGCGGGCGTCGGAGTTTCGATCGCTCGGATCGAACGGCTCAGGTGGGCGCGGTTTCGGAGCCTCGAGAAACTGCTGCGACTGCTGCGTCGTCGCCGTTGTCGTCTCGTGCTGCGCTCCGGCGAGTCGAGTTACTCGCTCGAACTGGTTTCGCCACGCTTCGCGATCTGCTCGCATTTCCTCCTGAAGGGCTGCGATGCGCGCGAAGAGCTGCTGGGTAACCTCGGCGTTGTCGAAGGTTGCCATCCTGTTCAAAACACGCACGGAGGGGGTAATTCGAAAATCGCGGAGCTGGTGCTTACCAGAATCGGCGTCGAATTGGTCGCCCCCGGCGGTTTTTCGAGGCAAGATCCCCGCTGCTGCTGCTTAGCTGAGCGCGGCCGAGTGAGAAAAGCTCTGATTACCAAGTGTCACAGGATCGAATGTGTCGAGGAAAGGTTGCACTATCGATCAGTACAAGGCGCTTTTATACTTCCAGAGTACATCAGGTAACCAGGTTTATCTTATCCTAAGGGAATAGACCCTTCTAGAAGATAGAATCACCCTGCGTATAGCCACGCGAGGCTATTGGCTTTAAGGGATTACAGCAGGATTACGCTAGATAGAGCGCACCAATACATCCCAAGCCTGGTCGGTGATATAATGATAATAGCAGGATAAACCAAAGGTTAATGGAAAAGGAAGAATAGGAAACCAAATGAGATGCGGTAAAAAGAGAAATGAAAAGGGAAGGAAATAAGAAAAGGCCAAGTGGTGTAACGGGGTCGTACTCTCACAATCTGCGGGCGTCAGAGTTTCGATCGCTCGGATCGAACGGCTCAGGTGGGCGCGGTTTCGGAGCCTCGAAAAACTGCTGCGTCGTCGACGTTGTCGTTTCGTGCTGCGCTCCGGCGAGTCGAGTTACTCGCTCGAACTCATTTTGTCATGCCTCGCGGTCCGCTCGCATCTCCTCCTGAAGAGCGGCGATGCTCGCGAAGAGCTGCTGGGTAACTTCGGCGTCGTCGAAGTTTGCCATCCTGTTCAAACACGCGCGGGGGGGGGTAATTCGAAAAAGCGCGAAGCTGGTGCTTACCAGAATTGGCGTCGAATTGGTCGCCCCCGGCGGTTTTCAAGGCAGGTTTTCCCGCTGCTGCTGCTTTGTTGAGCGCGGCCGAGTGAGAAAAAGCTCTGATACCAAGTGTCACAGGATCGAATGTGTCGAGGAAAGATTTCACTATCGATCAGTACAAGGCGCTTTTATACTTCCAGAGTACATCAGGTTACCAGGTTTATCCTATTCAAAAGGAATAGACCCTTCTAGAATATAAAATCACCCTGCGTATAGCCACGCGAGGCTATTGGCTTTAAGGGATTACGGCAGGATTACGCTAGATAGAGCGCGCCAGTACATCCCAAGCACTTTCATCCGGAGAATTTTCGCTTGGAGCACTTTCGTCTGGAGCACTTCGTCAGGAGCACTTCGTCTAGAGTATATTGTCTGGAGCACTTTGTCCGGTGCTTTTTGGTCTGGAACACGTTTGTTTGGAGCACTTCGTCTGGAGAACTTTCGTCTAGATCACTTCGTCTGGAGCACTTCGTCTGGTGCACTTTTGTCGAGAGCACTTTCATCTGGAGCATTTTTGTTTGGAGCACTTGGTCTGGAGCACTTGGTCTAGGGCAATTGGTCTTGAGCACTTCGTCTAGAGCACTTAGTCTGGTGCACTTTCGTCTGGAGCACTTCGTCTCGAGCAGTTTGTCTAATGCACTTCATCTAGTGCACGCTCGTCTCGAGCACTTTGGTCTGGAGAACTTTTGTCTGGAGCACTTTGTCTGGAGCACTTTTGTTTGGAGCACTTCGTCTGGAGCACTTTTTTTGGAGCACTTCGTCTGGTGCTTTTTGGTGTGGAGCACGTTCGTCTGAAGCACTTCGTCTGGAGCAACTCGTCTGGAGCACTTCGTCTGGTTCACTTTCGTCAGGAGCACTTTCGTCTGGAGCACTTTTGTCTGGAGCGCTTTCGTCTGGAGCACTTTTGTCTGGAGCACTTTGTCGGGAGCACTTCGACTGGAGCAATTCGTCTGGAGCACTTCGTCTGGTGCACTTTTGTCTGGAGCACATTTGTCCGGAGCACATTCGTCTGAAGCACTTCATCTGGAGCAGTTGGTCTAGAGCACATGATCTGGAGCACTTTGTCTGGAGCACTTGGTCTAGAGCACTTCGTCAGGAGCACTTAGTCTTGTGCACTTTCCCCTGGAGCACTTCGTCAGGAGCACTTCGACTGGAGCACTTTGTCTAGAGCAATTCATCTAGTGCACATTCGTCCACAGCACTTCGTCTGGAGCACTTTCGTTTGGAGCACTTCGTCGGGAGCACTTTCGTTTGGAGCACTTTGTCTCGTGCTTTTTCATCTGGAGCACCTTTGTCTGGTGCACTTCGTCTTGTGCACTTTGTCTGGAGCACTTTGTCTGGAGCACTTCTTCTGGTGCACTATTGTCGAGAGCACTTTCTTCTAGAGCACTTTGTTTGGAGCACTTGGTCTTGAGCACTTGTTCTCGAGCACTCCGTCTGGAGCACTTAGTCCGGTGCACTTTCGTCTGGAGCACTTTGTCTAGTGCATGTTCATCTGGAGCACTTTCGTTCGGGGAACTTTTGCATGGAGCACTTCGCTTGGAGCACTTTCGTCCAGAGCACTTTTGTTCGGAGCACTTCGTCTGGTCCTTTTTGGTCTGGAGAATGTTCGTTTGGAGCACTTTGTCTGGAGCCATTTCATCTGGAGCACTTTCGTCGGAAGCACTTCGTCTGGAGAACTTTCGTCTAGAGTACTTCGCTTCGAGCACATTCGTCTGGAGCACTTCGTCTAGAGCCCTTCGTTTGGAGCACTTCGTCTGGTGCTTTTTGGTCTAGAGCACGTTCGTTTAGAGCACTTCATCTGGAGCACTTTGTCTGGAGCTTTTTCGTCTAGAGCACGTTTGTCTTGAGCACTTCATCTGGAGCACATAGTCTTGTGTAATTTTGTCTGGTGAACTTCGTCTGGTGCACTTTTGTCTGGAGCACTTTCTGAGGAGCACTTCGTTTAGAGCACTTCGTCCGGAGCACTTCGTCTTGAGCACTTCGCTTGATGCACCTTGTCAGCAGCACATTCATCTAGAGTACTTCTTGTGGAGCACTTTCGTCTGCAGCACTTCATCTGGAGCACATTCGTGTGGAGCACTTTCGTATAGAGAACTTTGTCTGGAGCACATCGTCTGGAGCACGTCGTCTGGTGCACTTTTGTCTACATTACTTTTGTCTTAATCACCGTCGTCTAGTGCGCATCGTCTTCTGCACTTCGTCTGGAGCACTTCATCTGGAGCACTTTGTCCGAAGCCTTTAATCTGGTGCACATTCATCTGGTGCACTTTCGTCGCGAGAACTTTGGTCTGGTGCACTTTCGTCTGGAGCACTTCATCAGGAGCACTTCGTGTGAAGCACTTCCTCCAGTGCACTTTCGTCTGGAACACTTTAGTCTGGAGCACTTTCTGGAGCACTTTCGTCTGGAGAACTTTATATGGAGCACTTGGTCTAGAGCACATGGTCTGGAGCACTTGGTCTAGAGCACATGGTCTGGAGCACTTGGTCTAGAGCACTTCGTTAGGAGCACTTAGTCTGTTGCACTTTCGCCTGGAGCAACTCGTCTGGAGCACTTCGTCTGGAGCACTTTGTCTAGAGCACCTCGTCTAGTGCACATTCGTCTGGAGCACTTTTGTTCGGAGTTCTTTCGTCTAGAGCACTTCGCCTAAAGCAGCACTTCGTCTGGAGCACTTCGCCTGGAGCACTTCGCCTGGAGCACTTCGTTTGGAGCACTTCATCTGGAGCACTTCGTCTGGTGCCTTTTCATCTGGAGCACGTTCGTCTGGAGCACTTCATTTGGAGCAGTTTGTCTGGCGCTATTTCGTCTGGAGCACGTTCGGCTGGAGCACTTCGTTTGGTGCATTTTTGTCTAGAGCACTTTCGTCTTGAACACTTTCTTCTGGAGGAACTCGTTTGGAGCACTTGGTTTGGAGCACTTGGTCTGGAGCACTTCGTCTTGAGCACTTCGTCTGGAGCACTTCGTCTAGTGCACGTTCGTTTGGAGAACTTTCGTCTGGAGCACTTTGTCTGGAGCACATTCGTTCGGACCACTTCGTCTGGAGCACTTTGTCTGGAGCACTTCGTCTGGTTCTTTTTGGTGTGGAGCATGTTTGTTTAGAGCACTTCGTTTGGAGCACTTTCGTCAAAAAACACTTTCATACCTGCCAAAATTTCTAGGTTGGCAGGTATGCTTTAACGTCCAAAGCCCCTCAAAATGACATGCAGACAAGATGTGGGTGGTGATTTAAATTCCACTTTTCACCATGGCGGGGCTTTGATAAAATTACACCCCATATTCCCAACTTTCAGCACCTATATGTTATTTTCACTTGGAACCAAATGCTCTAGGTTGGCACGTATGCTAAAGAGTCCAAGGCCCTTCCAACAAACTCAAAGTGTCGTGCATAGAAGATGTGAATGATGATATAAATTCCACATTGCACCGTGGCGGGCTTTGCTAAAAATATGCGTCTAAGTTCCAAACTTTCAACACCTATATTTTCTTCCTTCACTTGGAACCAAAAGTTATAGGTTGGCAGGTATGCTAAAGAGTCTATAGCCCTTCCAACAAACTCAAAATGACATGCAGAGAACATGTGGATGGTGATTAAAATTCCACTTTTTACCATGGCGGGGCTTTCATAAAATTACGCCCCAATGTTCCCAAGTATCAGCACCTATATGTTATTCTTCACTTGGAACCAAAAGGTCTAGGTTGGCAGGTATGCTTAACAGTCCAAAGTACGTCCAACAAACTCAAAATGACATGCAGAGAAGATGTGGATGGTGATTTAAATTCCACTGTTCACCCTGGCGGGGCTTTGCTAAAATTACGCCCCAATGTTCCCAACTTTTAACACCTATATGTTATTCTTCACTTGGAACCAAAAGGTCTAGGTTGGAAGATATGCTTAACAGTCCAAAGCACCTCCAACAAACTCAAAATGACATGCCGAGAAGATGTGGATGGTGATATAAAATTCCACTTTGGCGGATGCCGCCCGGCCCTCCCGATCCTTGGCGGGTGCCGCCCGGCGCTCCAGCTCCTTGGCGGGTGCCGCATGGCGCTCCAGCTTCTTGGCGGGTGCCGCACGGCGCTCCCGCTCCTTGGCGGGCGCTGCCCGGCGCTCCCGCTCCTTGGCGGGCGCTGCCCGGCGCTCCCGCTCCTTGGCGGGGGCTGCCCGGCGCTCACGCTCCTTGGCGAGCGCTGCCCGGCGCTCCCGCTCCTTGGCGGGCGCTGCCCGGCGCTCCCGCTCCTTGGCGGGTGCTGCCCGGCGCTCCCGCTCCTTGGCGGGCGCTCCCCGGCGCTCCCGTTCCTTGGCAGGCGCTGCCCGGCGCTGCCGCTCCTTGGCGGGCGCTGCCCAGCGCTCCCTCTCCTAGGCAGGCGCTGACCGGCGCTCCCGCTCCTTGGCGGCTGCTGCCCGGCGCTATTGCTCCTTGGCGGCTGCTCCCCGGCGCTCCCCCTCCTTGGAGGCTGCTGCCCGGCGCTCCCGCTCCTTGGCGGCTGCTTCGCGGCGCTCCCACTCCTTGGCGGCTGCTGCCCGGCGCT